AACGAGTATAACACTTTATAAATTGGAATTTATTGTAGTTTATGCATAAAAAATGTTAAAAGGCAAAAACAGTCAAAGAGTATAGTGGAAAATTTTCATCGACAGCCAAGCAAGAATTAAAAAATAATCAGAGACAAAAATTTCCCTATCGAGGATGGAATCATTCAATTGCCCCCACATAAATGTACCTTGTAGGAAAATTAAAATCGTTGTCAAGTAACCAGATTTGTCTGTGATTTCTCTTTTTCTGCTTTTTCTTTTAGGTGAACTACATTAATGTTTTAATACGGTGGTGACATGAAACTTGTACCTGTAAGATGTACATGTGTATGAAATATGAATATTAAAGTCACGTTTTCTTTAATTATCAAAATAAAGTGTCAAATTTCTCCGTTGAACCAAAGTTTCAATTAATTGCCAAGCTACAACCAAATTAGGAAGGAGAACATTTATAAAGAAAAAAATCTTTTATGCTTGAAGTATCTCTAACTGAGAATCATAAACTAATACTTTGAATACAAACATTTTGTTTAAGGAATTGATCTCTTAAAAAATTTGAAAATGCAAAAAGTAAGAAATAATTAACCGATAAATGGCCATTGAAGGGTCAAAATGATCAAGTGGCGTGTAGCTGCTTGACAGTTGACACGGCCAACTTTTTATTTTTTAATTTTTGCAAAAATAATACTTCCACAACCAAAAATATGCACATAAAAATTAAAATAAAAATGAAAAGGGGTAGGAGAGAAAGAAATAGAAGATAAAGTGAGTGACATGATAGAGATAAAAGAAAAAGTGTTATATAAGTTGTAATATATATATATATATATATATATATATATAATTTTATTAAATATTAATTTGATGTTTCTTATTGCTTTTAAGTTTAATAAACCAATATGATTTTGAGTTTGTTTTAAGTTTTTAAATTAGATCTTTAAATTAAAAAAATATATATATAACTAAATTCTTAATTTTTTTTAATAATTTTTGCAATTGAGTTATTGAATTTTAGTAAAATTGTCATAATTTTTTTTTTGACATTTTCAAACCATTATAAACTAACTTTAGGGACCTAGTTATAAAACTTGTGTAAGATTTTGGGCTAGTTACAATTTTTTTTAGGTTAAAGGCCTAACTACATAAAAAAAAGTTTAGGAATTTACTGATATGTTAATTAACTGTTTGTTATTTAGTTGAAATGATGGTATTAAATTTATGAACCGAGTGATATATAATTAAAATTTTATATAGGAATTTAAATAATATGAAAACCTATATTGTGATTTTGGGTTTAATTCTTTGTACATACACATCTTTACATTAATATAATATTATTTAGCTATTTTAAGATTAAATTTTTATAAATTTATTTTTTATCATTACTTAAAAGACCTCTTGTCAATAGAGCCATTAATTCATTTATTTATAAGTTTATGTTTCTCCTCTTTTTTTTAACGATGCAAAACTTTGATTATAGTTGAAGTTTTTTTTATTGAATTTAATTAGTGTACAAACATTTTGATTTATGTTTCCATTAGGAACTTCTGTATCCATAATACAAATTATGCATAATTATAAAATATAAGGTTTTAGGAAATCTTTTAGATAGAATAAAAGTTTTAGAAAAAAAAAACATTAAAACTAGGGAAAATTGTCTAAATCTATGATTTTCGGGAAATGTAACATTTTACTAAGATACAATACCATAATACTAAGGAATTAACATTTAAAACTTTAAATAGAGTCAGGTATGCGTATATATAATTTAACTTCTATGAGTATTTACTAAACATGCACATATTTGATTTCAACTTTTTAAAAGGGAAAAAAGCTTAAATAAGACAATATCAATGAATGGAATTTTTTAATAAAATTACGGGGTACGTTGTTAATCATGACATAGAGTTATTTATAATTAGGGAAAAAATTAAGGTCATCTAACCAAATAAGAAATTTTTGTAATGTTACCCTTGACAGAAATTAGTATTTAGTTGTTTAATTTTAAAATATTGCATCAATTATATTCATGAAAAAAATAATAATAAAAGAATAATTAGTAAAACTATCGCATACATATATTATATATTTGTTTATATCTTTTTTTAATTAAGTTGTTTAGAGATTAAAATTTTAATTTTAAATATAAAATAAATTATGTTATGACTATTGAAGCAACCAATTAATGATTAAAAGATAAGTTATGTATCATATATGCCGAGCCCAATATATAAAATTGTACTTACACATGTTATTACTAATTATATATACAGAAGTTTTTGTTTTTACATCATAATTTTTATTTATCAAATTTTCTCTTGGGAAAAAGTATATTCTGAATATCGGTCTCAAATACACTACTGTGCAACTGAAAATTTTCATATAAAGAAGAATCGACTATTTCTTAAGGAAATTTCTTTCACGTACATGAAAATAATTTCATTTTTCTTGTGCAGAATGAGAAAGAGGGAGACACAACAGCATAAGAAATTAAAGTTTCTTGTTCTTTAGGAATGGAAAGGTGAAAAGGGGGAAATTAATAGGGGTATTTCAGTCAATTAGTAAGGAACTGTCATTCAAAGTTCAACGTATAGTGTCGTGGAACAGAATCATGTTATTACCTCAATTTTTACCCTTCAAACTTTTTTCTGTCCTTAACCTATTATTGTACAACTCTCCTATTTTTTTCAAAAGCCCTAACACTCATCCCTTTTCTCTGTATAAAATGCATCTACTACCAACACAAAGAGGAATATTAATGTATGCATTAATATAAGTGATGAAAGTCTGAATTTGTACCACCCTTTTTAGGAAAAACAAAACCAAAATCTTGGCAATCTCTGAATTCAAAAACTGCTAAAAAAACCAACATAATGCCCCCGGGTAGCCTTAGTATTACTCAATATATAAAAAACTGCAACTGCAAATAGTAAAGAGGAACAGTCCAGTCACACTCCCATCAATCTTATCACATCCTCAAACATTAAAAAAAAAAAAAAAAAAAAAAAAAAAACT